GTGCCCTAGGGTACGTCTACACAGACTGAGGAAGCCTGTGACCACTAGCCCAGGTCAACAGACTCAGGCTTGCAGGGTTCACGCTACCATGCTAAAAATAAGCTGCACAGACAGTGCTTTTAAGCTGTGGCCTGGGCTGGAGCTCGGACTCCGAAGCCCAGTCCACCCTGCCCCACCCCCAGGTGCCAGAGCTCAAGCTGCAACGTCTCCACAGCTATTTTTAGGGCTATAGCGTGAGCCCTGTGAACCTGAGTGTGTTGACCTAGACTGGGAGGTTCACTGCTACAGGCTGTCGGCATACCCGTGTGATCTGTTGCACTAATTCCAATGCCTAGTGGCCTTCTTAATGTTAAGGTCCTGCACTCTAGCGGACACTCAGGCTGAAATTATGTTAATTTTTTTTTATGGATGTTAAAGACTTGCCTCTTTTGGGATGGTTGTTATGGATGTGTAACACATGATGTTAGTGTCCGGGTGACTGTAAGTCAAGCATGAAATTAAATTTTTCTTTATGTAAAATGTACCATTTGTATAATATCCATTTGTGAGTTCATCTGAGGAAGAAAGACATTTAAAACAAAGAGTCTCAAAGTGCTAGTGCAAACTGAAAATAGACCTCAACGGGAGCTGAGTACGCATGTCTAAGTGTGACAGGGCAGGATATGTCTGCATCAAATTATGAACTTCATTTTATACTACGTGCTAACAACAAATTGAAACTTGCCTGAGGGCAGCATATCATACAACATTCCAGACAGAGCCCTGCCAAGGAAAGGTGGTTGATGCCTCCTTGGAAGAGTATTACTGAGAAGCCATCAAGACTGTAATCTGGAGCCATCAACTCTGATTGTCTCTCATCTGCTGTTATGATCCCATGGTACAGTGATTTTTTCTACACAAGAGTCTGCAGGTAGGGCATGCATGAGATTGAATCCCCATGGAGCACATGGCAACAAAACAAACTCCACTTAAGAGTCTCAGACACTGGGGGGGCGGGGGGAGGTTGGAAGAGAAGGGTGGGTTGAGGGCATCTGGGGGCTAACACCACATCTCCCAAAGAATGGTTCCAGAAAAAAGGTCCAAGCCTGGGACCGTGCCCTATAGAGCCCCAGATCTAAAAGCAACTCGGTTGGCTTAGAAGCACATGGGAACCAGCAATTGGTCCGCATGCAACAAAATGGTGACCATACCGAATAGCAGTAGGCCAGAACTGCTGTTTGTAACTGAGAACAAACTGACCCTACCATCGGGCTAGTTCTTCATACAGATGCAAAGTGATATATAAGAGGAGAACTGTCATAACGTTATTCTACCCAGTACCCTCTGAGGTCCTCAACATTTAATATCTTTTATCATTAGCTGGATATTTAAAAGGCAAGTATTTTCTTTTCACTCATTACAATAATTTTGGAGATGTTTTCCATAACCCAAGCTAAGGTGTGGCTTTAGCTGCCACTTTTTTTATTTGTTTTGTACTGGAATGCAAAGATGCATGGTCAGTTTTGAAGGGTGGCATCTGGTTTGAATGATAGACATGCATGGAGACATTGCACTCACAAGATATTAGTTATTATGCTTTTTTTTTTAAGAAAAAAAGACAGTAAAAATGTACAAAGCAGAATCTAAAATAACTTGAAAGTCAATGAGACTTGGGGTCCTAAGTTACTTAGATGCTTTAGAAAATGTTAACAGATATGACTTCCCAAAGTCACACAACAGTTCGGCAATCAAGCGAGGTCTTGAACCCAAGTCTCCCAATTCCCAGTCCAGTGTCTTAAATCCACTGGACCTATCCCAGGTCACCATAAGAAAGTGAAGAAATGTTCTGCAGCTGAATTGCTCCAGATTTCAAATGATCCCACAGGAAACTGTGGTAGGATCTCCACCACAGATGTTAATAGATGATATGGGCCCTTCTGATTCTGTTCTGGATGTCTGACATTGCAGCGCTCCACAGATGACATATACGCATAGCTCAGGATTTTGACAATATCAAAATCTGGTGACCCTTTTCTTGATATAGCAAAATGGCCAATTTAATCTAAAAACTCTCCGAGAGCCTTTACATTTTGGGAATCAGGTTTTGGTTTACTACAGAGTACCCATTCAGCTTCAACAATCTTGCTAAAACACAGCCTCACATTCAGTGACAGTCGTAGAATCAGCAAAGGCGGTATTACTGCTGACCTCTTGTTCAAGTTCAAAATATGTCATTCTGTCAATACCATCTACCTTAATTATACTGAGCTTTATATACAACAGGTTATGATCCCAGAAGGATGAAAAGCTTTTCCAAATTAAAAGCAGCATTTTGAAAGGGAAATACTCAGACATTCCTATGTAGTTTTCATTTGATATCCTCAAGGCTAATCCCAGAACTCAAAGTCATGTTGACTGAAAGTGCATGTTTTGCTGGGTGTAGCCATCTTATGAATTTATTGGCAGAAGGGAAGTAATAAAAACGTGCTCCATACTTTAATTAGTTCCCTCGTAACATGGTATTTCCAAAATGGCTGTGCCAAAGAAAATCATTACTCCAGGAGAATAGACAAAGGCACTGTGCAGTGTGTGGCACAGACCTCCAAGAGACAGAGGGGTGAATACAAATACACACGCTTGTCCATGTTTTGTCTTGTTTGCAAAGCTGAACTAGAGCTTCACACGGGCTATTTGGATAAAGTTCGTCCTGTATTTTTAAACATGAAATCCTTTCATCACTGCACTCCTTCAGTTCTGTTACAAAATAATACAGGTTGAAGATCCATGTTTTATATTGGAATGGCAATTGGCATGGAATAAATGTACATGGGAGGCCCATCATGGACATGTATGTATTCAGGTATTCCAGGTGCTAGCATAAAGGTGAGAAGGTTTTCTGCACTCACGTGATACTATCTTGTCATTATTTGCGCATTAATGAAATGTGATTAAACCACTGATGTGATGCTATCAAACATGGTCTACTGCAAATGGCAGACGGCTCTCCAAAGCCGGCTTTGAGAGTGCCGTCAGACTCCCCCACTCACCTCTGCTGCTCTGGGGCCCCCCACAAACACCACAATATCAGCATCAGTGGCAGATGCTACAGCAAGGAAATGAGGTCTGACCCCAGCCCAAAGACTCCTCCAGCTCCCACAACAAGAAGGCTGATGGCAGAAGGGGATAGGGGGCATAACGTCCCTCTTCCTGCCAGTCAGGCAGGGGCAGCTGTGGAAGGTTTCAACAATGAAGAAGAGTTCATGGAAGAGACAAGGGAGGCAGATTTGAGGGATTACAGATAAGAAGCTAGGGAAGCTCTAGGAGGGACAAAAACAATTAACTGGCAAGGCAGGAACCGAGAGAAAGATCAAAATACAGGGATACTATGCTAAACACTAGCTGGCTGTGGAGGAAGCAGCACTAAAGAATTGCCCCTCAGAGAAAGACTGTTCCCTTTCATTGTACATATAGCCCAAGGCCATGATCTCAAGCACTTTTTGTTCCCTAGAGCAATATTTTACTGATACACCTCCTTTGCAACTAGTCAATATTTGTAATCTATACACACACTGATTACTATAAATACCATGCATTTCATGAAATAGCCTATGCGCACACACGCACACACACACACACACCACATGGGGCAGCTCCTGGGGAGGCACAAAGCTTGCCTTTTTCAGCCCCGAGTGCTGAATCTCATCTGGATGGGAACCAATCCAGGCCCCCAGTATCATTTGCAGCAGTCTGAAATTTGCAGTAAAATGAGCAGGCTGCAAATGGCATGAAGGGAGCCCGATGTCAGTAGGGTGTGGGATCATCCCAATGATGTGTGCTTTCACCCAGCCACACTCCCGACACCAGCTACAAGCAGAGACGAGGCATAGGAGCTGCTATGCTGGCCTGACACCACCAGGGGATTCCCTGCACTGGCATGGATTCTTCCTATGGCTGACTAACCTAGCTTTGCACCCAGAATTAACAAGAGATACAGTCAAAAGTGGTCATATCACCACTGGTGCCCACAGTCATGCTCACACTATGCACAGTGCATACCACAGGCAGTGGCAAGGAGGAGCAGCCTTGGCTACCCCACTGCCCACTCAGGTTAGGCCTTGTGGCCCTCTGTCATGACAAGTGGTGACAGGGCCAAAACTGAGTGAGTGGCGTTGTGACCTGGTGTATGGGGGTTCCAGCATTGCTCAGGTTAGGTCCCATGACCCCTCTGTCATGATGGACAGGCCACAGGGCCAAAACTGAGTGAGTGGCACTGTGATCTGGTGTGTGGGGGTTACAATGCTGTTCAAGTTAGGCCCCACAGCCCCTCCGTTGTGATGGAGGTACCACAGGGTCAAAACTGAGTGAGTGCCATTGTAACCCGATGCATGAGGGCTGCAGCACCACTCAGGGAGGGACTGCAGGGCCAACCCTAAGCGTCGCTGCGACCCCCATGCACCACGTGGCAACAACACTCACTCAGTGGAGGGGCTCCTCCTCACCACTGCTGTGAGGCTGGCTCTGGCACCGGCTTCCCCTCCCACCCAGAAACCTCCGCACATATCCCCCCCTCAAGGACAGGTAGTGATGGGGACAGGTCAGGCTAGAAAGCAGGGCCTGAACATGGCACAGACTAGGAAGGTCAGGCAGTGGGGCAAGCAGCTGCAGCAGGGATGGCTCCACCACGATTGACAGTGAGAACCATGGGAAAAATTTCTGGGGGCATCCCTGCATATAGCAGCAGAGAATCAGGCCCACAGAATTATTTTATCATGAAGTGGTATCCTAGCAGTGAGGGTTGGCACTCCCCATCTGCAAGTGAAATTCATATTACTTTACGCAAAATATAAGCGGCACCCTGCAATTATTTTAATAGCACCCAAGACTGACCATCTAACCTAACTTGAAATTTTTGAAAGATTTATAACCGTGATGACAGTAAAATGAGATTAGAAAAAGCGAAGCTGATATTTCCTTGGTATGTTTCTTGTCATGACCTGCAACACCCATGCAACCTTGTAAAGTTATGACCTTTTCCCTCCGCTCTTCTTATTTAATAGAATAAAAATTGATACCTGGGTGCGGTTGAATGCCACTCTTGCAAAGACAGCTTGGGACACACTGGCTCTCTTCAGCTCATCCCTGACTTGCTGGTAAATATCTGGAGAGACTTCCACTGATGAATTCGTTGGCTCTGGTTTGACAGCTCTAGGGATGGGTGGATGATTCAAGAACTGTTGGTTGATAGCTTGTGGGTGTTGGTGAGCCAATAGCCGGCTTACAGCAATCTGTTGGTTTATCAGGTGGGCCATTGCTATCTGCTGCCTTACCAGTTGTGGACTGAGCTGAGGAGACAGGAGACCAGGGCTCATGATTGGCTGCAATGTTGGCACTTGATTTCGGATTGGAGTACTGTGGTGAATTTGGCCGTGAGGAGATTGTTCATTAGTTTTTCCCAAGGTTGCCAGTTGGTTGATATTTGGTAAGTGCATGGGACGCTGACCCAGAACACAATAGTCTGATAGGTTTTCTCTTTCCACTCTTTCCACTGTTAAAAGATAAAATTAGTTCACTATGATTTTGGTTTGCACTCACAGCAGGATTGTTAATATAACAGTTATTACAATTGACTGTATTTTTAGTACATATAATAAAAGTCAGTTAATGCTACAGCTAACGTATCAGACAATGAAATTATTAACTCCCACCTCTACAAGCTTTACTTGCAGAAACATTAGGATTCCAGGAAAGACATACAGGCAAATACACCACCAAAAAGAACAATCACAAAAATATTTTTTTTCAATGTTTCAAAGTTTCAGCCATTGCTTACATTAGCCTCCCTATAAAACTGCCAGCAGCTACCCTTTATTTTTTAAAAACAAAAATTAATTTGCAATTATTAAGAAATGAAGGACAGAGTGTCCCACCACAAGGACTCTAGCTACAAATGAAAGTCTTGTACCACACACAAATAAAATGACCAGTGATTATATGAATTCATGTAGACATACCAGGCCATAGTTTTACACTGGCTTAGAGGTAACTAAGATTTCAATAAACTTATCTATAGCCAGTCTGGATGCATTTATATATATATGATGTGATTAAAAGTATTCCAGGACCTAGTATCACATACCTAGAAATTATTGACTCATCATAGGAATGTTTTCTGCAAATAATGAGCCAAGCTTTATCTCATGGATGTCACAATAATATTATAACTTGTGTAATCAATAATGTTTGCACAATGCTTTGAAGATTTTTTTGTTTAGCTTATATAAGGCTTTAAAGCTTTAGATAGTTAATATTCAGGTACACAGTTTATTGGGGATCTTGTCTGTTCTTCTCTGAATCAAACATATAACGTTATCGATTCTTGGGGAATCAACAATCCTTTCACCCCTAGAGCTAATCCATCATGAACAGGGTTGTGATCACACCAGTGAGATAGTGTTGAAAAGTTCTGGGCATACACACAGGATTTCAAACTCTAGAGAACTCAATCCAGCACCTCTTAGGAGTACTAAATATTAAAGCTGCATGAACGACGTCATTTATTTTTGTGGGAAATGTCTTGCATTTTTATTTAATCTTTCTATGAAAAACCAAAACCTGAAAGATTTTCAGGTTAAAAAAATCAAGTTCTGAATAACAAACAAACAATTCTTTTATCAAAAACTAAATAACTTTACTGAAATGTTTTGGGTTTCCAGTGTTTCAAAAAATTCCATTTCGACCAAAGCGAGAATTGTGTGTGAAATTTTTCATTGTGATTGAAAATCAACATGTTTCAATGAAAAAATGTTGACCTGCTCCACTAAAAAAAAAAGATTTTTTTTTAAAATAAAACCACGACCTTTTTTACAGTAATTGCAGCATATTGCACAGACACTTCGTTAGTCTATGGACGAGGTGTTGCCTACCCTTATTCAAGAGACTAGTCCCAATTAATGAAATAGGGCTACAGTACAAGGACAATATATGTAAGAGTTTGCAGGACCAGGTCCTACTGTATCATTCTCTGATTCCATATCTGTCTTAATGCAAATTTGCACTATGGAATATGAGCAATGTTAATACAGATATGTACATATAATTTACAAAAGCTTTTTTAGATATTACTGAACCTGTGCAATAGCCACTTGTCCAACATGAATTAATCTTCCACAAATCCATTTTAAAAATTAATAAATAAACCTAGTATTTGCTAGGGACCAAACACCCCAAGTATTTTTGCTGAAGAAGAGAAGACAAAGGCCTAGCTCAGTCCTCATTTACACCACTATAAATTCAGAGCAATTCTATCGGAATTTACCTCAGTTTCAAGCTCTAAGAACCCCAAAAACTTAAAGGTAACCAAGTATTTTTGAAAATTTAGTAACAAATAAAATTCACTTTCCTGGGCTAAACCTTACTTGCCAAGTTTCCACCCAGACCTGGTTTAAGTGCCAAGCTATAAACCCCTTTAAAAGTAAAGTTTAACATGAAAATGCTGCCAGGCTGTTAACCTTTGCAGTGCTAGCCGGTATTACAAGAATACAAA